AGGAAGACTCAGACGAAGATGGCCGTCTTCCTGAGCTTTGCCCTCCTCAGTGGGCTCAGCTTGGCCAGCTGCTGGGCTGCATTTAGCTTCAGTGAGGGCTTGCATTTAGGCACTGAGACAGGAGTGAGTGCTTGCATCTAGGACTCAGACAGAGCTTGAGCATGAGGAACTTGTTTTTCTTCAGAGCACTTTTGGTTCTCAGCATCCCCAGCAGCAAGCCTCTGAGCAAGTACATTCTGAGCCATGTCCTTCCCTCCAGTGAAGTCTCAGGGTGCTCCTCCTAAGGCAGTAGGGCCTTATCACGGAGCCCCTCAGGGATTCACTCAGGGCAACCCTGTGCTGCGTCAGAGTTTCGTGCCTCAGCCAATTCCTCCGCCACCTTTCACGAGGCTTTTTCGTTCCACAGTGAGGGATCCTGAGCAGACCCTTCAGTATGACCGTCCTCACTCGTATGAGGCTGAGCCGTACTTTGAGTGCCCAGGCTGTCTGAGGCAGAACAAGCGCACTAAGATCTACCTGACTCGCATCCTCTTTCAGACCCGGTGCATCTATTGCCACTCCTCATGGCCTGCCTCAGCCATCCTTCAGTGGCACCAGCAGGTGATGCCTCTGATTGAGGACCTGCCCTGGGGAAGGCACTCAGACATCCGCTTCAGGGTCTTCGCTCAGGAGAAGCCAGGCCCACTGAGAGGGCTCCCTCCTCAGGTGGGGCTCCTGAGGCTGCTCCTAAGGCACCACCTCCGCCACTGCCTGAGGATGAGGATGAGGAAATCTCAGCAGAGGTGGTTCACAAGTGGCTGAGGACGACCGACTCCAGCCTGAGTGCCTGCACCTTCCGCCTGAGGGGTCATGGCCACTCTGAGAACACCCTGAGGGGCAGTATCGCGAAGATCAGGGACCTGAGTGGGGAGGCTAAGGAGATGGTTAAGGACATCAAGGACCAGCTGAGGGACATCGAGGCCCTCATCGCTGAGCTGGACGACTTTCAGGAGGACCACCTTGCGGAAGCCTTAGACCTGGCTCAGCAGGTCCAGGATAGGCTGGATGCCAGGGCCGCTCAGGCAGCTGAGCCAGCTCCTGAGCCCAAGGCCTCGCCTCAGCACACGCCCCTTCCTGAGACGAGCAACCTGAGTGCTGCCGAGCAGGAGCAGCTGAGGGCACTCCTTCAGAAGATGAACCAGAACCAGCCCTCAGCATCGTCCTCAGGCTTGCCTGAGACTTCCTCCACCCAAAGCTGGCTTGCACATCAGTGAAAGCTGCCTGAGTCAGCACTGAGTGTCTGCTGAGGGAGACTGAGTTTTTGCATTGTCTCCTGAGAGAGGCCTGAGCGAAAAGGAGTGCCTCAGTGAAGCCATAATTAATGAATTCAGTGGGTTTCAGCATTCCTTGAGTTCTGCATGTTCTCGCATCTCAGGTCCAGTCACCTCAGAGCTGTCGGTTCTGGTGACTCAGCTCAAGGACTGGGGTTTTGACGCCTCAGTCTGGGTTGCTCAGCTGCATTCTGGGGTTTAATCAAGGGTTTAGGGTTAAGTGCACCCTGCAGGGTTTGCGAAACCTCAGCAAACCCTGAAGAACAAGCTCCCTCAGCCGTGCTCAGGCTCAGATCTTCGTCCTGAGCTTCGTCTTGGGGTCGCCTTCAAGACTTACAAGTTCATGAGTGACGTCCTGTGGTACCTGAAAGCTCAGGACACATGTCTCAGTTCAGATCTGAGCGAGCACCCTGAGCCTCCATGCAAGCCCAAAAACCTTAATCCTAATTAGACCCTAAGCCCTAATTAAGCCCCAGACCCTCTCCCGAAACCTTGATTAACCCTAAGCCCTAATGAAACCCTAAACCCTAAACCCTCGAGGAGGAATGGCTGAGTGCTATCTCAGACAGGGTCTCCCACATTGAGCGCCGAGACTCAGGCAGCACCTAAGGCAAACCCACAAACCCAGAATTCCCTAAGCCCTTAAACCCCTAAAGCCCTGAGCCCTTAAACGCCTTAGGTTGGTCTTAGTTTATCCGTCAATTAACACAACTCCTAGGGGTTTAGGGTTTAGGGTTAGTAGTTTAGGGGTTTAGGGGTTTAGGGGTTTAGGGGTTTAGGGGTTTAGGGGTTTACTATTCTTGGCAATCTGAGGCCAAGATCATTCCTCAGGAGATTCCTGGGATGCCCTGAGGCACCTCAGCCAGGTCTTCTACGAGTTCGACCCTGAGGCTGAGCATGAGGAAACTCCTCAGTAAGCCAACCCTCAGACCAACGAAACCCTACAACCTAAACCCTAAACCCTAAACCCTAATGAAACCCTAAAACCCTAAACCCTAAACGCTAAACCCTAAACCCTAAACCCTAAACCCTAAACCCTAAACCCTAATTAAACCCTAAACCCTAAACCCTAAACCCTAAACCCTAATTAATTAAGCCCTAGACCCTAATTAAACTCTAAGCCCTAATTAACCTCCGAAAGCAATTCTCAGGCAGGTGGTGCTCAGATCCTGAAGGACATGTTCCTGAGGGTTCGCACTTCCTTAGGGAAGCAGACTGCTTGGGAACCTGAGGCCACCCTGTTGCACTAAGTTCTAGTTTTGCTGAGGTTTGATAACCCTAATTAATTAAAACCCAAACCTTGCTCAGCTTAGGCTTTTCGAGCTGAGTGGGATGTGCTCCTCAGCACGGCCATCCTCAGTGTGAAATCAGAAGTCTTCTATTGGAGATTCCTGAGAGTGCCGCAGCAGAACTGAGGCATTTCTGAGTCAGTCCAGTAATTAACTAAGCAAAACCCCTGAACTCAGGCACTCGATGGATGCACTGAGTCCAAGCCCGAGCACGAGAAGGTGCTGAGCAACCTGTTGAGGCCTGAGGTTACTCAGCTCTACTTCTCAGCAGCAGCCTGGACTGTTAGGGTTTGGGGTTTAGGGTTTGTTTAGGGTTTAATTAGGGTTTAGGGTTTAATTAGGGTTTAGGGTTTAGGGTTTCACTAATTAGGGTTTAGGGTTTAGGGTCTAGGGTTGAGGGTTTAGGGTTTAGGGTTTAGGGTTTAATTAGGGTTTAGGGTCTTGGGTTTTTGGCATCTAAGGCACCCATTCAGACCAGGATGTCTGCCTTAGCATCCTGGTCCTCAGCACGACACCTCTATCACCAGACTGAGAGCCGCCTGAGGTCCCTTCAGGAGAAAGTTGCTAAGACAGGCACTTAGTCAGTCGTTTTGGGGTTTAATAAGGGTTGAGGGTTTAGGTTTAGGGGGTTCTTAGCTTTAGGCCAAAAGTAATAATCACCTTGAACTAAGGCTCAGTGCCTCGAGGTGAGCTTCGCAGGCCTCAGCAGGATGCCTGAGGCTCCGGGCCAGCTGCCTGAGTGGAACACTGAGGCAGAAGCCACTAAGCTTCAAGATTTGGGACCCTAAACCCTAAAGAAACCCTAAACCCTAATTAAGCCCTAATTAATTAAACCCCAAACCCTAAACCCTAAACCCTAAACCCTCAACCCTAAACCCTAAACCCTAAACCCTAATTAAACCCTAGACCCTAAAGCCTAAACCCTAAACCCTAATTAAACCCTAAACCCTAAACCCTAAACCCTAAACCCTAAACCCTAAACCCTAAACCCTAAACCCTAAACCCTGTCGTCGTCGTAGTAGTAATTGCTTACACCCTAAACCCTAATGAAACCTAAACCCTAAACCCTAAACCTTAATTAATTAAACCCTAGACCGTGCCCTAAGCCCGTCTGAGGTGAAGAAGTGGCAGACTGAGCTCCGCCAATCAGGCCGAGCTCAGGCCTAAAGGGCCTCAGACAGACAGCAGCAGACAGTTTGAGTGTGTGTGTGTGTGTGTGTGTGTGTGTGTGTGTGTGTGTGCAAAAGTCAGCTCTCTTCTGTTCTCAGAGATGAATAATTACCCTAAGACCCTAATTCAGCAATGAATGGCAAAATCAAGAGGCCCGCCTTTAAAGGCAAACAGCCGGGATTCCGAAATCGGGGCTCCGGGCCGGGGCCTTGACATTAAAGAGGGTCCCGAATCAGTCCCATTATTCCGGGTCCAAGGGGGGCCCTGGACCACCCCCTTGCCGGATTGAGGGGGACCAATTTTTCAAAAGGTTTCCTTAAAGGAAAATATTGGTTTCGGGCCGGTCGGAATTCCGGAAATCGGCCTTTGAAATCCTGAGGCCCGGCTTTAAAATCAAGAGGCCCGCCTTTAAAGGCAAACAGCCGGGATTCCGAAATCGGGGCTCCGGGCCGGGGCCTTGACATTAAAGAGGGCCCCGAATCAGTCCCATTATTCCGGGTCCAAGGGGGGCCCTGGACCACCCCCTTGCCGGATTGAGGGGGACCAATTTTTCAAAAGGTTTCCTTAAAGAAAAATATTGGTTTCGGGCCGGTCGGAATTCCGGAAATCGGCCTTTGAAATCCTGAGGCCCGGCTTTAAAATCAAAAGGCCCGCCTTTAAAGGCAAACAGCCGGGATTCCGAAATCGGGGCTCCGGGCCGGGGCCTTGACATTAAAGAGGGTCCCGAATCAGTCCCATTATTCCGGGTCCAAGGGGGGCCCTGGACCACCCCCTTGCCGGATTGAGGGGGACCAATTTTTCAAAAGGTTTCCTTAAAGGAAAATATTGGCTTCGGGGCCGGTCGGAATTCCGGAAATCGGCCTTTGAAATCCTGAGGCCCGGCTTTAAAATCAAGAGGCCCGCCTTTAAAGGCAAACAGCCGGGATTCCGAAATCGGGGCTCCGGGCCGGGGCCTTGACATTAAAGAAGGTCCCGAATCAGTCCCATTATTCCGGGTCCAAGGGGGGCCCTGGACCACCCCCTTGCCGGATTGAGGGGGACCAATTTTTCAAAAGGTTTCCTTAAAGGAAAATATTGGTTTCGGGCCGGTCGGAATTCCGGAAATCGAAAGAGGGTCCCGAATCAGTCCCATTATTGGGGGGCCATCTGCGACACGATCTCCTAAGAAAAAAAACCCTAATCTCTAAAGGAAACCCAAAGTAATTAAGGCCTTCATCTTGCCTGAGCACAGGCCTTCCAAGTAAGAGCAAGAGGGGGTGGGCCACCCTCAGAAACAACCGCCAAGACACCTGAGAAGCCACAGCAGGGCAGCCCGGCTTCTCAGCAGACCGCGAGCCCAGCTTCTCAGCAGATCGTGAGCACTCCTCAGTCCACAGCACGACAAGTTCTGCAGTATGGCCTCACGAAGTTCTTCGGAACACCTGAGCAGAAGGCATCTGCTCAGCCTCTCGAGCTGCAGTCGACAGGTTACCAGAGGAGCCACAAGAGCAGGGCTCAGCTCGAGTTCGAAGCATCTAAGCTGGCCTTTGAAGCTCTTGTGGCTGAGAAGGAGGCTGAGGAGAATGAAGACCGGGCTCATGAGATAGCCAAGCGGAGACGACTGACTCAGGGGAAGAGATTCACAAGAGTCGCTTCTGAGTCCACCAAGAGGAAGCCTCAGAACGGTCGAACCGAGCTGACAGCCAATCGAAAGAAGCTGATTGCTGACGACTTGTGTCAGTCCAAGTCTCAGTTTAGCACTCAGAGGAAGTTCTGGGTCGCCATGACGGAAAAGCATGGCCTGAGTAAGAGACAGCTCCGCAGGATCCTGAACCAAAGCGAGATGTATGCTGCCTCAGCAAGACGCCTCTTCTGAGACGCAACCTGAGGAACAAGAGACGAGTGAGAATTTCGGGGGCTGGCCGGAAGCAGCCTTACCCGGACATCGTTCAGACAGTTTCTCAGTGGCTGGCTATTGAGCGAGCCTGTGGCCACACCATCAGCCAGCTGGACTTCTTTCAGGAGTTCTTGTTTCAGCTGAGGCTCTCGGCCACTAAGTCTCGTCTTCGGGCAGAGGAGCCGGGCCTCAGCAACCTGAAGGTGGCTGAGTTGAAGCAGGATGCTGACGAGAAAGAGGGCAGGGCTGAGAAGCTTAGCAAAAGCAAAACCTACCAAAAAAGCTTCACTAAGAGACTCCTCAGGTGGAGCAAGGCTAAGTTCGCCACCTCAGAGGTCGTGAGCAACATCAGCAGCCTGGAGTCTCAGGTCAGGTGTAAGCTCACCTGGCAGGAGTTCGACCGGTGCCTTTGGCTGGCCAGCCTGAGCTCCGTTGCTGAGCTCTCTGCTGAGAAGAGGGTTTCCGACCCTGAGGACTTCGTGAAGCACAGGAGTCACTTAGCCATCGGCTTCTCTGATCAGGTGCCGCTGTGGGCTAAGGCCACAGGCCGAAAGGCCGTCTTCTCTGAGGAGGAGCTCCACTCACCTGAGACAATTCAAGACTTTTCTGAGATCAGGGAAGCCATTCAGGATGCCATGAGGACTGACTCAGATGCAACCTTTCAAGTGGTTCCCATCAGCAGCACAGGTGACAGCACTCCCGGAGTAAAGAAAGCCCTCAGCTTCGGCTCAGAAGGGTCAGGCACAGTCAGAAGCGCCCTGAGCTTCAGCAGCCTTAGCCCAGAGAAACCTCTGCAGACCGAAGACAAAGCAGAGGAGCAGCAGCAGCAGATGTTCAGGCACAGTCAGAAAGGCCCTGAGCATCAGCAGCCTCAGAAGAAACAGAAGAAGGCATTGCCTAAGGCCGGAGCTAAGACCACCTTAGGCTTCTCAGCCGACGAAAGATTCAGAATCACCTACGAGGCCCGTCAGGTGCTTCTTCAGGTTCTGGATGAGCCCAGCAAGCCAGTCGTCGGCTTAGTGGGCAAGGGGCTGCTGGTGGTGCCCGGCCAGTGGGCTCGCCTCAGCAACATCTCTCAGGACGGCAAGTGGATCCGGACTGAGAGGTTCAGGGTCGGTGCTAAGGAGAAGGTTCACTCAGCTGGTGCCTCAGTCGGCAAGATCTTGCTCAGCTATCGAAAGCTCAGGCAGGCTCACCCTGAGCTGGTCGCTAAGCTGGACATCATGAGCCAGCCAGCTGCGAACGTCGACTCCGTGATCCTGAGCTGGGTCATTGAGGGCCAGGCCACTGAGTACCCTTGCTCAGTCTGGCAGAGGGACTGCTTCAGCTCCGTGTTCTCAGACACGGCTGCTGAGTCGATGGCCTTAGCCCAGCAGATCAGCTGCTTAGTTGCTGCGAAGTGCACGTCTAAGCTCCAGATCACGGACTCAGACTTCGCCAAGGAGTTCAAGGGTGCCGTGAGGCACAAGCTGTCCTCCCTGAGAACAGAGTTTCAGGAGCAGCAAAAGTTCTCAGGGAAGTCTGAGGTGTGGCGAGTGGGTGCCCTTGAGATCGTCACCTCAGTGGTCTGGGCTGAGGAGCAGCTGAGGCAGAAGAACGAAGAGCAATCCTGGGTCGTGAGGGCAGCCGTCAGGAATGGCCTTCTGGCCTATCGGCCCAACCCTGAGACTGGGAGGCTTGAGACGGTCTCCGAGCAGCCCTGGGCTAAGGAGCTCGACCTCAGGATGGGCAGTCGTCGCTTCCCAGCCAGCTGGCTCTCAGAGAGGCTTAAGTGGCTGGACGACGCAGGCAAACCCATCCAGGCTGACTGGTCTCTGAGCGACTCAGCTAAGCAGATCTCCGACCTTATCAGGTGGGACTACTTCAACCCTGAGGAAGACCTTGAACAGGAGCCTGAGGAAGGAGGCTTTGACTTAGACGGTGAGCTCGCAGAGGATCTGGACCTGAGTCTGCAGAACAGCCTTTCCCTCAGGCTGCATCCAAAGCTCCGCCGTGCAGCAGCTCGCAGAGCTCTTGAGGAGGGCTATGCTGACAGAGTCAAGGAGATCAGGAAAAAAGCAGCCGTGAGGAGGGAGAGGCTTCTACAAAGCTTGAGGCAAAAGCTGATGCTTAACAGTCGTGCAGAAGCACTGGCTGAGGTGGTGCCTGTGAGGACAGAGACGAAAGGCCAGAAACTGAGTGCAACCACCAAGCCCTCAGCAAAGAACAAGCCCTCAGCAAAGGGCAAGGCCAGCAAGTTCCTGAAGGCTTCGGCTAAGAAGAAAGCAGCTAAGAAGCACGACCAGAAGGCCACAGTCGACAAGGTCATTGGTAAGGTCACAGCTAAGAAGAAGAAGGAGAAGAAGGAGAAGAAGGCTCAGGCCAAAGCTGAGACCAAGGCCAAAGCTGAGACCACAGAGACTGAGTCCGCAGCCCTGGCTCCTTTCCTTGAGAAAGAAGTCATTTGTGTCTCTGAGGCTGCTGGCCACATGCTCTTCGGCATTAAGGGCATTGCCTCAGACTTCCAGTCAGGTCGCTACACTGTCATGACCGTGAGTGGCACCTTCGAGATCAGGTCTGAGCATCTGACCCTTTGGGAGCCCAAGACTGCTGAGTTCGTCTGGGCTCAGCTGAAATACCTCAGCAGGGCAGATACTCAAACAATCCTCCGGGCCATCTCCTGCTGGCCTGAGCCAAAGCTGAGGCACGACGACTATGCCGACCACGGCTTAGTGCCCTTCCCTGACACTGAGAAGCCATTCTTAGTGGAGGATCAGTGGATCTGGCAGGGCTGGGCCATGATGAGCTGGTCTTTGCGAAAAGCCAAGGCAGGCTCCTTTGAGGAGTTCTCAGTGGAGTGCTTAGACCCTGGCCTTCCTCACTTGCTCTTCGAGTTTCCTGAGCACTTGCTTGAGCCACGTGAGAATGCCGTTAAGCAAGCCTTCGGCAATGCCCTCAGGCTTCTGGTTCCAGTGGTTAGGGCTTTGCACTGGACCTTGCTGGTGGCTCAGAGAGAGTCCCTGGACCAGACCGAGGGCTTTCAGTGGCGACTCCACGACAGCCTTCAGCAGCCAATTGAGGCCTGCACCTTGGCTCAGGTCAGGATTGGGAGCTTGCTCGATCCTCAGTTCAGCCTCCCCAAGAAGACGAACTCAGCAGTGCCTGCGGGTTCTATGTCTTAGCCTGGATGGAGCAGGAAGTGAGGCAGGCCCGAGGAGAATGGCTGAGGGTTTGGCCTGGGCTTCTGGCTAAGACTTGGAAGGAGAGGCTTCTCAAGATGAAGCCACATCTTGAGAAGGAGCAGAAGCTGAGGATCGCTGAGATCGACAAGGCCTACAAGAAGACTGAGGCAGAGAGAGAGGAAGCAGAGAAGAGGGTAGCCAAAGCTCAGCACGCCTTAGACACAGCCAAGACTTCGACCAGCAAGGCTGCTGTGGCTGCTAAGGAATCCCTCGACAAGAACCTCTTCAGGTTCACCTGGAAGCATCTCAGCAAAGAAGCCACAGCCAAGATTCTGGCCTTAGAGCACTAAGGGTAGTGACAAGCCTGAGCCAATTCAGGCTGAGAAGGGTAGTGAGGCTTCCGGTGCCAAAGAAACCTGAGCAAATCCAGGCTCAGGAACATCCCCCAGTATCTCAAAGAGATACTCAAGCCAACAGGCCTCAGCCGATTGAGGCTCAGAAGGGTAGTGAAGCTTGCCCAGCCAAAGAAACCTGAGCAAATCCAGGCTCAGGGACATCCCCCCTCTAGGGCCGGCCACGACTGCTGCCTCAGGCAACTTAGGACGTCCAGAAGTCCAAGAGTTCGGGTTTAGGGATAACTCAGTCATCAACTTGCAGCCTGAGGCAGCACGGGCCCTCTTTTTGAAAAGCTTGAGAGACTCAGGTTGAGAAGAATACTGAGCTTCTGCAGGGCTGAGGGTTTTGCATTTGGAGGTCTGGTATTGAGGATTGAATGTTTTAACTTAGTTTACAGCAAGCCCCAAATCCTTAAAAAAAATTGCCGGGTTTCGGGTTCGGTTTGACTTTAAAGCGGACCCCTCAAACAGTGAGGGGGTCCTGAATAATTCCGCCAAATTGACTTTAAAGCGACCCCCCCTAATAAAGCAGGTCCAACATTAAGAATAATAATAAGAAGAATAATAAACCGCCAGAAATACACACAACTTCGTCTGCTCGAGAGACTTGCCAGTGCCTTGCTGTCTAGTTTAGGGTTTAGGGTTTAGGGTTTAGGGTTTAGGGTTTAGAGTTTAGAGTTTAGGGTTTAGGGTTTAGGGTTTAGGGTTTAGGGTTTAGGGTTTAGGGTTTAGGGCAGCTTCCATGGCCAAGCAGGGCCGCGATCTAGCAGTACTTGGATTATGCTTGTGCATTTTTCCCCGCATAGGGGCTCAAAGCAATACTTGGAGCCTTTGTTGCTTTTTCGAGGTGCCCCCTGTGAAAAAGCACGGGAAGTTCCAGTGTCCTCGAGCCGGCCAAATAGTGGGGCCTCGACGACCTGAAAAAAAGTTTGGCGGGCGCGCCACTGCCGGCTTCGACTGAGGGCGCAGTGCAGCCAAATTTCCAGTGCCACTGACCTACCGGTTCTCAGAAAAAAACAGAAGTCACAAGTTGAACTAGCGCCATTCTTTTTTTCATGGGCTGTTTGCAGGGTATTCTGGCAGCCATGGCTGCAGCAATCCCTGTTTCGCCTTTGACAGGGCGAAGTACCCCTAGAGCGCGCGCGCGAAGAATGACGAAGAACCAGTAAGTCCTGTAAGTTACTGCCACCGAATTTGAAGGCATTGTCCAGGAGATTTCAGTTTGAAGGTTGGGGCATCTGACGCTGATGGCGAGTTGTTCGGTCAGGTTTTGCAGGCTGTATAGGCCTCAAACTAGCCATCATTTTCTGTTCAGAGGTTGCCATCATTTTAGGTTCAGAGCCGAACGTCAATGATCCATTTCGGTTCCCCATGACCGACCCTTAGCCCTTGTACTTAAGCTTACTGCCCATCTCTGTCCACTAGTGTGCGTATGGCCGCTATAAGAATTACACGGTTTTGCGGGGCAACATGTGGTCAGGGTTGATGCCGTGATGCTTCGTGTAGAAAACTCATGGGTTTTTCAAAGGCCTCCTAAAGTGCAGATCTGGAAGAAGCCCGGAGCCTCTTGTCTTCGGGCTTCATGCCCAAGGCCCCTCAAACCCAAAGCAAAGAGCTTGAATTGGACAACTTAGTGAATGAGTGGCCTGTCGAACCTGTAGACCGAGCGTCGTCTGGATCCACAGCGTGGTTTGCCCAGCTATATGCGAGCGGAAAACCTCGCTTAGCTCCCGGGAGCCGGTACCAGAAAGTGCCGGAAAGGATGTTTCACGCCGCAGGAAACGAAGAAAATGTTGGCTTTGCAGAAAATAGCTGCATAGGTTCATGCATTGCACAAGAACAGCTTCACGGAGCAATAATACGGCCAGCGCCGTCAATACCGAAGCAGGTCTTGACCCGCACGAGTGCTGCGTTACCTTGGCGGACGTTGATTCTTGATGGGTTTGTGTACTGCTGGGTGCAACCAGGAATGAGCTGTGGTGAGGCTTCTTTGCTTACTTGTTTCGGCCTGCTTGCTGCTTGCCTCTCGCCCGATCCGGTGCTCAGCAGAATAATTGCAGCGCAGAACAAGGATGACTATAAGAGTATAAAATTGACATGATTCTCAGGATGCCCAGCACGGCGGTGGTCTTTATGGTCGCGGTTTCTAGGAGGTTCGCCATAGTGTTTAGGTCACGTAAGTCGACTGAAGGCTCGTCCATGATGTTCCCCGCAAGCTGTGGCAGCCCTTTGATTGCTGTGCAACCCCTTGCCAAAGTGCAGGGTCCTTGCAGAGTCGGACACACTCGAGAGACCTCCCTGCAAGAGCCACGACCGTGGCTTTGGGCTCCGGTCACATTGGCCCTTGCTGCAGGTGCCAGGCGGAGCATTGCCCGTTACGCTGAGCCCGACAGGCTCAGCTCGGGTGTGGAGCTGCAGGGCACCAAGGCACTGAGCTCGCCAGCAACTATTCCAAACTCATCCCCAAATTACATATTGCCCGCCACTTTGCCCCCTTCTCAACAAAGTGACCCGAAGGTGGTGGTGACGGGCGGCTCGCGCGGCATCGGCCTGGCCACCGCGCGGCTGATGCTGTCACTGGGCGCGGATGTTGTGATCTGCGCGCGGGGGACAGAGGAGCTTGCAGCCGCACAGCGGCAGATGCCCCGAAGTGAGCACTGCCAGGCCATCCCTGCCGATCTCTCCACCCAAGCAGGTGTTGCGGCCTTGGTGGACCAACTGCCTTGGTCTGAGCTGGATGTTTTGGTGAACAACTGTGGAATCAACATTCGCAAGAGGGCGGAGGAGTTCGGGGATGAGGAGTTCGAGAAGATCTTCAACAGCAACTTCATGAGCTGCATGCGGCTCTCTATGGCAGCCCTGCCATTGCTTCAGAAGGCACGAGGAGGGATTGACCATGATTGATCCACTGATTTCATGAGGAGCCTTCTCATGCCTTGGAATCCCAGGCGGGCCAGAAAGGCAGAACAGGAGGCGCGGCTATCGTGAATCTCACCTGACCCTTGCTTACCGCGGCTTCGTGTTGCGTAGGCTCCCGGATGCTTAACGTGTTCCAGGTTAATATGCGCAAAAATAGGTTTTATTGACAGAAATCTGTTGGAAGAGGTGTGAAGCCACTGTCGCCCCTCAAACAAGACACGTTGCGGGTCTTGACGGTGAGTTTTTCTAGTCTACGGCTTTGCCGTTGAATGTTTTGGGCCATTGGGCGTTTGAAGGTGAACAGGGGGAGGCATATGGGGCCGAAGCGTCCTGCGACAAACCCTTCTAGGAGAGCCATGTGGGATCCGACTTGAGCTTATGTCAACCAAGATGCAAAAGGAAGCGGATTGAATGTGATCGGATCCTAGGACCTAGGGATCAGACGGAGCCCACACCATTTCAAGCCCTAGATTGCACGGTACATTGCACGGTTATCCTCGCTGACGACTGCTGCGATGTTTGCCGAGGAATGTCTCCTCGGTAGCTGGATCTGGCCATATACCTTCTGGACTCTCGGTCAGAAGTTCCTTTGACCCCTGGGCCCTTGGGTTGGGTTCTTGTTGTCATGCTGCTCTGGGCGCAGGGGAAACCGGACACCCGGCAGAATAGTAGCAGATGCACAAGACGGTTCCTTTGTGTTGACATGTAAAGCGTGCCCTAACGGGACATGCGATAGATGAAACTTGCGCAGTCCCGTGCAAAATGTGCGAAATCCAAATGCGAAAACACTACACAAGCTCATTCAAAAGAAGGCCTCACAGAGCCTGTGCATACCTAACCCAAGAAGTCCGAGTTCCTTCTGCGGCAGCGCATTATTTAAGAGGCTGTGGCCGTCTTGCGCATGACCTGCTAGCAATGTGGGCTCTCCAAAGCACTCTTCATGCGAATCCCACATCTCGACCATCCCAATGCAAAACTTCCAGTGCGCTATGTCAGCTAGATCAGCCTGCATGTAGACTCACAAAGCGAGCGGGTGTGAGGGCGAGGGTAGCAAGGGCGCTTGAATTGGTTTGTTGTAGTCATCGGTGTTCGCGGTGTTTGCTGGTATTTGCACAACGAAACTCGGAACACCGTACCGTAGTTCAGTGACAGAACAAGGACCGTCAAAACGACAAGATGTGTCCAACCTCCGAAAGCTTCAAAACGAAACGCGAAAAAACTTCCCCCACACCGCAAATCCCCGGAGACTAGCGCTGGCTTGCGGAGGGGCTGGAGTTGGAAGTTGGGTGGACCTCCGGGGCGGCACTAAGATCCTCAGGTTGAGGGTTCGATGAGCACCCCCTTCTTCCCCCCTCTGTGGCGCTAGTGCGACAGTGCCTCGGTGTATGATGTTATGTGTGCATTCCTTGGACTTTGGGTGCAACTCAATCGTGGGTTGGGGGTCGTTGCAGTCTTTGAGCATCTGGAGGTCTATTTCTGGAGAGGATTCACTTTTTCTGCGATACTTGGAAATAACAGGCCGTGGGGCCCCTTTTCGAATTCAACTATGTTTCGGAGCTCGGAGCCTACTTTTTGGCAGCAGGGCGATGCGGACCCGGCAGTTGCACAGACGGATGGTGGCAGTTTGGGATGGGATGGGAGACGTGAGCAAGGCGGGGGTAGGGTCTACCCCGGGCGCCGACGCTT